AGAATAATAAATAAAAAGGAGGCGGGATCTTATGGTCAAAAATTAGGGTGCAACACCCACCATGGGACTTAAGCAACAACGTCAAGGGTGCAGAGGTAACAAACTCAAACTCTTCGGGCATCTCCCTCTCATCCATAGGATAATAACTAGAGTGATTTCACATAAGAGATCTCTAGACACGGCAAAACCTTATCCACATAGTGTGTCCAATAAATGTTGTGCTCACAAACCATCCCTCCCACAAGAAGTCCCTTTAGGGAATGACTTAATGCACCTGAAGATATCATCAACTTCATCCAATAGAGAAGCTTCAGAGAACAAGGTGGTTGGCATGGAGGAAGGTGGTTTGTACGTGTGTTTAGCCTTCATAGTATGTACATTATAAGGGCTTACACAAGATGACCCCAACACTTTTATAGTTGTTGTCAAGTGACCATCTGCAACCTTACGAAGGCCTTGCTTAACATTACAACTCGCCTTTGCATCTTTCTGCTCAATAAGAATTCCCTCATATCCTGACTTATCTTGCTCAGAGCTACCCAACACACTATCAATTAACTTTTCAAGACCATCTGCATCCCATTAAGTAGTGAAGTATTCCAAAATTTGATGTTATTGCAAGACTTTCTGATTCCTATACCTGCAAGCCCACCTATTCTGAGGCTTGACTACCTGTAAAGTGCAACGGGGGAGAAATAACAACCAAACCCAAGCACCTATAGATCATGGCTCAGCAACCACCTTGAGGAGTGCATCGTTTAATGCCTGAGAGAAAGCAAGACGACGCTCAAGAGATATGCTTTTTACAATAAAGATAGGTAATGTAAAAGTTCTCTTTAACAACCTTGTGTTCAATACAATCCCCTCATTTGCATCAAGGTTATCAGATTTTGTTGTAGATGGTTTTACAATACCCATAATGTGACTTTTGACTTCTCATGCCCCATGAGTAACCTGAATCAGACCATCCGGATGATGACATACCTGACTCATAGCATGAATGTTGATACACCTTCTGCATATCCATTATCCAACTCCTTTTAAAGTCTCCTCGAATGTCGTAAAAAAATCAAATCACTACTAATAGCTTTTTGAATTATATTTTTGCATTCGTCAATGCATAGATGCGTCTTAAGACGAGACACCACACGAGAAATATAGTTTTTTTAGTCTAATGAATATTTATTGATAGTGTAAAAAAACTTACACTATTATTTAATAAAAATTCATCACTTAATCATATCATACTATTAATTTAAAAGTTACAATTTAATATAACATAATAATAATAATAATAATAATAATAATAATAATAATAATAATAATAATAATAATAATAATAATAATAATAATAATAATAATAATCTATACTAATATATAAAGGCAAAACATTAGTTTGGTGTAGCCTTTTTTTCTTTCAAATTTACCCTTTTCAATTTTTGTTTTAATTTTTAATTTTTTTCTCACAACGGCGGTTATACGACGGTTTATTATTTTTCATATCATTATCTTTAATTATTTTATAAATAATTTATGATTAAATTAAAATTAAATTAAAATTAAATAATCTATCTATAACTATATATAAAAGGAACATGGAATTTTAGACTGACCTATTTTTATTTCTATTTTATCATTTAAAATATAATTTGGTTAATTTTAAAAACTAAAATACAACTAAAAAAAGAAGTTTTTATTAAATGATAGTAGTTATTTTGAATTGTGGTAACTCCATAACTACTAGAGTTGGTTTTTATTTTATTTTTTATATATAAATCTCTAAGGGTGTGATGCATAACATAAATACAAATTTATAGAGAGTAAAAAAAACATGTTCATTTAATGTTTCATCCAATGATTCTTCATAATTTATGGTTTGTGGATGGTTAATAATTTGCTTCTTTGTCATTGTTTGTATTAGAAGTCCTATGGATGTTCCAATGTTTGCTTCTGTGTTGTTTTTGTATTAGAGAGCAACATCAAGATTGAAACTAATTCATGTTTATATTGTCTGGTCTTATTAAGCTAACATTCCATCATCAAAAGAGGTAATTTTGAATTTCAAAGATAACTAATTCAAGTAGCATAGCTTTTTTTTTTTTCCTATTATATGTTTTAAGAACAATATAGAGAAAGAAACAAATTTTCCTATTAATTGTTTACTGAGAGAGGTTTTCATTAAAATTCAAAGGAATCTAAATTTAAATTTGCCTATTAATTTAAATGAATGAAATATTAACGTCATTGGATCATCCATGTAGGATGCTTAATTCATTAATCATCATTAATTTTTCTAAATATCATTAATTTTTTACTGTTGCTATTCTAATTTACAATTCCAACCCAAATTGAAATGGATGGTTCTCTTGCTTTTCCATTTAATTTTTAATAGGTGAAGAAAGTGTAGCATAGTGAATTGATTAGTGGTTATATAAGAAGATTTTTTTAAAGTGGAGTGAATCTCTATAAATGTAAAAGATCATATTTTTGAAAAATAAATACAAAATGTGTGATGTATGAGAGAAGTTATGAGTGTGAGAGAAAGAAAATGGAAGAAAACAAAACCAAGAGGGTTCGTGGCTTTAAATTTGACTATCTTTTCATCATCCCACTTTTATTCTTTGGCATGCATCAATTATTATAATTGTATGTAAACTAAAAAAATAGTTTTGAGTAAACAAAAGTGTAGTTTTCAATTGGTAATACCAATGAAAATGAGTTACTATCTTTAAACCAAAATAGACAAAGTGCATATCTTATCTTTTAAAGTTTAGTAATTGATTTGTTTTATACACAAAGAAATGGGAAAGGTCATGCTATGCAAATATTATATATATATATATATATATATATATATATATATATATATATATATATATATATATATATATATATATATATATATATATATATATATATATATATATATATATATATATATATATATATATATATATATATATATAAATAGAAATTGTTTATACTTTTTTAAATATTGGAACAAATTAGAATAAAACATATTTCTATTCTAAAAATACTGATATTACATGATAATTATAGATATTTTAATTGGTTGTATATGTAAAATTGTATCACACTGACAGTGCAATACCTTTAAACCTTTAAAATATTGTGTGATTAATAACTTCAGAAGAATTTGAAAGATAACTTCCATATCTTTTATTGTCGTGAAAGAGAAGAAGAAAATTATAAATTTTTTAAGAGTGTCACACAAATGAGAACTCCCATGCATTATACTATTTATTTGTATGAGCTATACAAATTGTTATGTTGTTTGCCTCGAAAGAAGAATGGGTATTATAGAAATTTGGTAACATTTTTTTAGATAAATTGCAAGATGGTGTGTTTAAGCGTACAAACGGGTATGCCCGTTTAAATGCTATGTAAATAATTTAATTTAAAATCAAAATTAAATTAAAAAATATGTTTATGTTTTAACACGTGTGTATATTAAAAAGACAAACAAACAAGTTTCTTTGTTTTAAATATAAATTGTATTTAATATTTGTAGGTAATTGATATATATATATATATATATATATATATATATATATATATATATATATATATATATATATATATATATATATATATATATATATATATATATATATATATATATATATATATATATATATATATATATATATATATATATATATATATATATATATATATATATACATATTAGTGCAATAATAATTAATATTAAACTGATAATTTTCACATACATATACTCCAACAACAAATGTCAAAATAAGTAGTTATTATATCATTATATAATTTCAAAAATAATATTAAACTGGGTTTAATAAAAATTTCATATAAATAATTTATACTAAAATCAATATAAATAGTTAATATTAAAATTAAACTTATAAAAAGATACGTTAGTTAATATTTTCACGCGTTAACGCAATAAAAAAATGGACAGTGCCCGTTTGGACGCTAATAACGGAATGTCCGTTTAGACGCTAATAATAATAATAATAATAATAATAATAATAATAATAATAATAATAATAATAATAATAATAATAATAATAATAATAATAATAATAATAATAATAATAATAATAATAATAATAATAATAATCGGTTAATCGGGTAAAATTAATATATACATCCCATTTTTTCTAATTTTTTACATCCAACTCTATTATAATTATAGTCAATTTTACTTGATCAACTTATGTCATTTGAAAAATCAAACATACTTTCCTCTGAGCTATTTATATTTTTTATTTTACTAACGAGACTACTAATTAAATATCATTATTGAAAATTAAAATTCCTACATGAATATAATTGAATATAGATGGCAAAAGTTAGAGAAAGAGTTAGACAAGGAGAAGAAAGAAAACTCTTGATATTCTTATCTGTTTACGGCAAAAACGTACCATTTTCTATTATTTGAAAAACAGAAGCCAGCAAGGATGAAATTCAGAATTTGCCACTAGCGCTAACAAACTCACAGTAGTGTGTTGTGCGCCTCTGCAAGGAAATGAGAGTTTGTTACAAAACAAACTTGCAATGCAACACCACTCACACACTACTACTATTTCATATTCCACTACCATTTCTATTTCTTCTCATTCCTTCTTCAACACACTTTCTTCATTCATTCAACAGGTTCATTTTCTTCTTTCATTTCGTTATTACTATTTTTCCATCAACTTTACAAATCCTACTTTACATGATCATCATCTCTTGTTTCATTTTTCCGATTCACTGTTTCATTCTTCAAATTTCAAAACCATCACTACTCAATCAAAATGTAGTTAGGTTTTGCATGTCATTGTTTATTCTTTATTTCAATGATTTTTCCACTTTTCTTCATTACCAACGGTTCATTTATTCATGGATCACTCATGAGCTTTTAGTTTTTGGATAAATATTCGATTGAGTTGTTATTTGTTACTGAATCACTTATTCGACATTGTTATTTTTTAATTTTTTTTTTAATTTTTTTTCAGAAAATGAAGCTGATTAAGCTTGGAAATGAGAGTGAGGAGTGTCTGAACAGTGACATAATCTTTGATATTCTGTCACGGATTCCTGCTTCGCCGTTGCTTGGTATGAAGTGCGTTTCGAAAAGATGGCAAACAATTATTTCAAACCGTTCATTCATCAAAGCTCAACTTCAGAAAGCAGAGCTTGTTTTGGATGGTTTCATTGTTCAAGATGGGAATATGTTAAGCAAACAGGATGTTAAAACTGTTAGTTACATTCCGGTTGAGTCGAAAAACGAGGAGGCTCCAGTAGTTCACCAGAAGGTTTTCAGTTTTCTTCCTGAAGAGGTTCTTGTTTTGGGGTCGTGTAAGGGGATTGTATGCTGTCGTAGCCGTTTTCCGTCTCCGAATCCAATGTTGTATCTCTGTAATCCTTTGATCAGAAACTGGATTCAATTGAAGTGCCCTATTCGATGTGACGTAACGGATAGTATAGCACTTGTTTTTGATTTTGAGCCATCCGATTTCAAATTGGTAAGGTTGAAACGCTTTGAGAAGATCAACTATGAGGAAGTGTGGGAGGAGGGAGAGGGATCGGAATCGGAAGAGGGATCGTTCTTCTTTACATTTGAATTGTACTCATCAGAAACAAAAACATGGAGGAAATCGGCTGAGACATGCGATTGTAATCACGATTTGATTAAAAACAAAGGTTTATACATTGGAGGTGTCTTACATTGGCTGACAGAAGGTGATAAAATCATCACCTTTAATGTTGAAAAGGAGCTGTGTTTGTTGATTTCAGTACCTGTTCCCGCATCGGAGTTTAGGTCTGTCCCTGAAGCTTGTATCGGAGAACACGAAGGAAAACTTCATTATGTTCAGATATCAGAAAAAGGTCTTCATGTCTGGTATCTTGATACTCTTGAAGATTATTTTGAGTTTAACTGGATACTCAAGCATTTCAAGAGTTTGGAGGATTTTGAACAAGAACATCCACGCCGCTTTGTGAATTTAAAGAAGAGAGTGTTGGCGCGAGTGATTGAGGATACAAATCCTTGGATGAGCCCTCTTGGTTTCCAAGACGGGAAATCGCTGATCAAAGTGTCTTCAGAGCTTTATATCTATGACATGAAGAGTGGAAAGACAACTCATGCGTGTTCGTATCTACAACTCAACCCACAATCCATGTCGCCTTCTACAGTATTTCCTCATTCCTTGACCCTGGTTTCCCTAAATGATGCTTAGTATCTGATTATTACCCCCAAAACATTATAGTATATATATGCATGTAGGAACTTATCTGCTTAGAAGTTCCTTTCCTCCCTTTCCAGCTGTGGAAATTATTGGAGTTATATAGTTTTACTAGCCACTTTATTATGTAGACAAATTTGAGATGAGTAATGTTTCCAAGTTCTAATTAATACTTCTGGTAACTAGTTGTTAATCTCATCTTTGCATATTTTTGCTTATTAAAGATTTGATGTTTTGATTGTCATGTGATTGACTACATGAATTGCTTGAAGTGATTCCTTTGAATAGTTTCTCATGATGTGTTTATTTTTCATGTCTTATAATTGCTTTGGTTACATCCATCTAACCCAGAATTTCTTGTTGAAACTACTAAACTGATCACACCTTAGCCATAATGCATAATAGTTCAGCAATTTCTGTTATAAGATTTGTATAGAAGATTGGCACCCCATCCATCTTATATGACCAATACAGAGTCCGAGGCCAGCATCAGAAGCATTCCCAAATTTCAAACCTGTCAAACAGAATCATTTTGTGCATCCCTTCAGCATAAACCAGTTGTACATGGCTTCTATTATCTTATATTGTGTCTGATCCTTTTTGATGTACTGCTGCAAACACATATATTCTAAATGACTCTTACATTTTATAGTAACTTGTATCCCAAACAATTCAATTTCCTTCAGCACAGCAGTTCTACAATTATATGCCATTGATCTAGTTATTGGCCATCTACATTGTTTCATCCATTTCTTCAATGTATTAATTATTCATCTAGACCTTGCCTCTCCATATTTTCAAATAAAACTGCAATTTTAAGTTAGTAGACTGTTTGAACCCATTCAATACATCATTGAATAGATTCAACAACATTTAGTTTTATAAGGTGTTTTTTAATCGATTCAAATACAATCTCTATTGATTCATAGCAACAAAAAAAAAATTAATATGAAGTCTGTCTGAGAGTTTTTTGAATTTTCTCAGTCCACTCCAATCGTCTTACTTATTCTGTTTTTTCTCCTTTTTCCTTTAAACTCTAGATTTTTTATTCTGTGCCTCATTCCTTCTCTGTTCTCGCGTTCTCAAACACATCTCAATTTTCAATATATTTAATGCAATTAAGTTGGAATACTTTAAAATTGAAAATATATTTGTATTAAATTATTAAATACTGATATTTGCTATATACATATCATAGAAGTATCACAATTATTTGTTTTACTTTTAAAAATAAATAAATTTACCGGATAAATATCAAATTTAATGAAAAATAATGATAGAGAGAAGAATGTATCATATTATTTGTTGGAGTCGCTCTAAATATAACAAGACTCAATCACTTTTTTTATTGATTTAAACTCTTGTTCTTTACTCGAGTAAATCAACGACACTATGGTTATAAAATGATTCCCTTTTGATAATTATTCGTAAAAGAAGAAAATTTGAGAAAGTAATAATTTTAAAAGAGAAAAGAAAAAGAATGTAGGTAAGTGAAAGGAAGAATGTTATTGACCAAACTATCAATAAAACTAAACTCTTTTTTCTGAAATTTTTTGTGTGTTTTCCTATTAATAATGAGATTACTTATGTGTGTTTTCTGAAATATCATGATCAATCGTACCCTTTATGGATCTCAACACCATCTTTTGTGCAGTGAGATGACATTCTCGGGGTTTCTCCATAAATCTGCTCAACAGTCCGACACTTAGACAGATATCTGACCTGGTATTACAAAGATACCTCAAGGATCCAATGACTTGTTTGTACAATGTCGAACTTACAAACTCATCATTTGTCTCATTTTTCAACTTTGCTCCAGTTTCTAATGGCGTGCAACTACATTACATTTGCTCTTCTTGAACCTCTTCAAGATATCTTAGACATACTTCTTTTGTTGCAGAAACACTTCTTCACATGTGTCTTTGAACTTCATCCCTAAGAAATATGACAAATTTCCTAGGTCGAATATTTCAAACTCTTGCATCAGTTTCGCTTTGACTCTTTTTATCTTTGTTTTATCTACACATGTATTCAACAAATAATCTACATTCAGGCATATGATGATTCGACTAATCATGTATGTATCGTTGACATACACTCCATATTCAGAGACACGCTTTGTGAAACATGCTTCGATCAGGAAGCTATATATTATCTTATCCCAAGTTCTTACTGACATAGACTTCTTCTTCCAACTGATGTATCTTCAACCTTTGGTATGCTATTGTCGACTCAACAATTCTGATTATTTCTAGCCTCGCCACAGGTGCATACACTTCTTTGAAATCAACACTAGGTTTCTGCAGAAAACCTCTCGCCACTAGTCTTTCCTTATACTTAGAAATTTCACCGTTTGGCCTTCATTTTAGCTTGTAAACCAACTTCACATCAATTGGCTTCTTGATTGACTCTTCGACAAGCTCCCAGACCTTGTTCTTCTTGATTGACCTGAGTTCTTCTTTCATGGCTACTAACCAATTTGAATCATTTGTGGCTTGATCTAAATTGATCGGTTTTGTTTCAACCATCATTATCACTTCTTCTATTTAGTCACCATCTGCATTGATAGCTTCATTTGGAGCTAACTTGTCAACTCAGTTCTTGCTTTAGTCAATCTCCTAACATTCTGCTCATGTGGTTTTTTATTTCGATTAGTTGGGACTTCAGTTTGTTGGTCTTCTTCAAACATAGTTGTGATTCTTTCTAGTTCTCGTCCAACTGACCCATGACTTCAATCCATTCTTTGCTTTAATCTAACAGAACATCTCGATTGATCACAATTTTATCATAGTTTGATGAATATAGCTTGTATACATCAGCTGAATGATAACCTATAAGCACTATAGTCTGGCTTTGATCATCTAGTTTCTTCCTCAATTATTCAGATACATGCCTGAAGCACGTTGATCATAACACTCTAAGATGACTAACATTCGGCTTCACACTTGTCCAAGCTTCATAAGGAGTCTTCTCGACTATCTTCTTGGTTGGACAATTATGTAGAATGTATACTATTGTCGAAGCTACTTCACCCTAAAATCTCTTTGGCATATCTTTAGCTTCAACATGTTCCTAGTCATGTTCAGTATACTTCGAATCTTCTTCCCATCTATGCCTCTATATTGAGGTGTATAGGGTGCAATAACCTCATGAGTGGTGTATTCACCTCAACCATCATTAGCTCTCAGTTTCTTCAACTTGCACCCACTATGCCTTTCGACATGAAATTTTAACTTCTTGAACTGTGTGAATAACTCACTCTTCCTTCAAATAAGGTAAATCCACATATATTTAGTGAATTCGTCGATGAAGGTTAGGAAGTAGTAGTTACCTTCATTTGACCTCACTTCAAATGGTCCACACATATCAGAGTGAACTAACTCTATATTTTTCTTTGACCTTATTGGCAGGTCATGCTTGAATGATTTCCTAGCCTACTTTGCTTTGCAACATTCCTCACACACATGACTTGGTTCTCTCACCTGAGATAAGCCATACATCATTTTCTTCTAGTTGAGCATACCTAAACTTATGAAGTTTAGATGTGCATACCTATGATGCATGTCATACCTTAATTTTTAACCCTAAGATTCCACCTTCTTTTGCATCATTTGCATAGCTTATCATGTCTTCTATCACACATAATGCCCAAAATATCGGCCAAAATAAACTTGTCGGATTTACAGTCGAATCGGTAAAACTGAAAGTCAACTATGCATAAAACCAGTGGACGAAAAGTTTCAAAATCAAGCTTGCAAACGTCAGTCATATTAATCTACGTTTGGTGTAGTTTAACTTGGCGTGCTCGTTGTCACACCCTTATTTTCACCCTAACCATAGCCTTGCATATCATATCATTTTCATCATTTATCCATTCCATTAGGTCATAACTTTGCATTCATTTGCATTTACCTCCTAAGACATGGGATCAAGCGGTCCTTTGAATTAGGGTTTCCTATTTGCGTTGAGTTTATTTCATTCAAGTTGGAAGCAAGGGTTGAATTCTCATCATCATGAACATATTTGTCAAGATCACCAAGCTTCAAGTTTATCTTCTCCAAGATTTCTCAAGAGTATCAGTAGCAACAACAACTTCTTGCACAACAACAGTAACAGTTCAGGCAATCTGCAATGCAAGGAATGGGTTAGATACAAGGGCAACATTAGATGCAATTAACTCCACAACTTAGGCATCAACAATTTCAAAGTAGGGAGCGGTTTTATTTGCCACATATGCATTATGGCCTTGATCAAAACCAACTCAGTCAAGGAAATCAGGTGACTCGTTTAAGTCAGCTTATTGGTCATGCTAACGGTGCATTATTTAGTGTTGCTCAAACAACATCAAATACCCAGATGATTCCCAACATTTCAGCTGGTATATCTTTACGGTCTCATGTGCCACAAATGTAGTTCAGATTATCCAGAAACAATTCCAACTGTATAGACCGAAAACGATACCAAAAAGAATGAGAAAATTCTCAAAGAAGAAATTAACAGCAAGGCATTAGAGACCACAAGAGTGATGAAAATTGACAGCAAGACAATGCAGAAAGGATAAAATCAATTTCCTCAGCAGAAAGAATGTTTGTATAACAGATCAATTTTGCATATATTCCAGCTCATTATTCTTAGGGTACAAGTTTGCAAAACTCACACGAGTGAACCACACACGATTCTAATGTATCATCTCATCAAAAACCCTAATTTTCATAGGCATATAAAACACATTGTTCACACGAAAACAACACACACACACACACACACAAAACGGTTCCCTCAAACCCTAAACCATAAAAACTTAGTTCAAAACCTGACCTTGATTTACTAAGCTTGGAAGACACAGTCATTGCAATTAAACAACAAACTCACGCACATATTAAGAGGAAGAGAAGATCCAGAAAAGGCCGGTACCAGAAAGAAGACATACCTTGAGTTTGGTTTGTCAACAGAGCTCTCGTCGGAAGAATCCGCTTTCCAGTAAAGTTTTTTTT